TTTTGGGGTACCTAAGATGTGGTATCTACACTTTGCATTCAGCTAAAAACCTTGAATTATAATAACTTTGGTAGCTAGATTCTCACAATGCAGAGAAGACTTTGGCATTTCAAGAAGAGCTTTGGTAACTGCCAGTCAATAGAAGACTCAACATCTTAGTCGGACCATCAATGGACTATAAAATCAACACTTCATCAACACATAGAGCTTCAAACAATTTTTTTCTTTCATTTGTAAATTCTTTTGAAGTATAATATGTGTTAATTGTAATTCAAAAGACTCGAAACAACTAGTTGATTTAAGATTTGGCTGAAACAATCGAAAACGGATAAAATTTGTCGGTTATATCTAATGAAAATCAAGAATTTTGGACTACTGTTAGTTATTGGTTATTTGGTGCAAAGGAATGAAAATTGATTAAAAATAATGGATTACAACACATAGAAATTAAGAATTTTGAAATTTGATTATTTATCTGTGATTAAGCATAAACGAATGAAAATGAACAAAGTCGAGGGTGATGGCTAGCTCATGAAAATTGAGAAGTTTGAACTCTGCTTAATTATTTGTAATTTGGCAGGAATGAACAAAATAGAGAAAAATCATGGATTATAGTTTATAAAAATAAAGAATTTGAAGACCATTTAATAATTTTTTTGTCTAAATAAACAAGAATGTACAAAAATCGTGTGTTATAGCTCATAAAAATTCAGAACTTTGAATTCTGATTAATTATTTGCAATTAGGCTTAAACAAATAAATATAGACAAAGATCATAGGTTATAATTAGCGCATGAAAATTGAGAATTTTGAGTTCTAGTTAATTATTTACATCTTAGCTAGATGAAATAAAATGGACAAAAAACATGGGTTATTGTCCTCTTCTTTGATTTATAGTCTTTCTCTCCTCTTTCAAAGTTTAGAGCATCTTGAAAAGTGACTGCTCAAATTTTACAACAATTTTTTTCACTAGACTAGTTATTATGGTTGAATAAACACCAATGCATGTGTTAGGAATGAGAGAAAAAGAGTATAATTTTATTATATATAGTCTTAACATAGTCAATAAATGTTTAAGAACAACTCTTCAGTCTTTCAACATTCTAGTTAATTAATCCAAGTAAATACACAAAATGACATTTTTTATGAACAATGTTAGGGTTTCTAAAAGAAAGAAAACTCAAAACTGCTACAATTTGATGTGTTGTGTGTTCTGATCTTTATAATATACACTTCAATTTGATCTCAAGAAGACAAATATATGCGTCATTAATAAAGTATTATTCGTGTGAAGGGTTTTTTTACGGCAACACCTTTCTTGTGAGTAACTTTAGAGTACCAACATTGTGTTATCGTGTATATGAGAGATCATAAGGGGTTAATGTAGGCTAGGGAAGGTAATTTTTGCCCATGCACATTTACCCACCTAGCCCACCCAACACCTGGCCTATCCAAAGCCCACCCATTTACCCCCTCCGGCCCGTATTCCCAAACCCAAAATTCTAAAACCATCTCTTCTCTTTCTCTTCTCTCATCAACATCGATCACGACTCTAATCCCTCCTTCCTCCACCTCTTGAATCCAAAGCGTCCGACGCCATTGCCTCCTCCTCCTCCGATTTCAGTCCCAATCTTTGCTCGATCTCAACGTCTACCTTAGCTTGCATCTCCAATCGATCTCCTCTCGATCTCGATCTCTGTTTGATTTTAGCCCCAATCTTTGCTCAATCTCAACCTCTACCTCAGCCTGCATCTCCAATCGATCTCCTCTCCTCCGCCCCCAATCTTTGTGGTTGTCGTTGGTTGCAATCAGATCTCTTAAGGTATTGTGTTCCTAATGCTGTTTTTCATTTGTTTTGATTTGTTCTGTAATATATTTTCTTGATAAATTACATGATAAAAGTTAAAAAAATTGCATCTTGCTGCATAATCTTGCTAGGTTTGGTTCCTTTGATCCTATCGATTTTGATTTTTAAATTCTTGGTATATATAGAAGGGGAAAGCTGTGACTTTTAGTGTCAATTCTTTGTTAGATTAATTTGTAGTTGCAGGTTGTTTAAAGTTGGAATTAACGTGGAAGACTGTTTCTTCCTTTTATTTTTGAATTAAAAAAATGTTTTTCTATTGCCTTATGCATCTTAACACCTTACAATTTTATAATTGGAGTTAATTTTCCAAGTATTTGTTTTATTCTAAAGATTACTTAAACATACAGATGAACCTGATCTCTAAAAATGGAACATTTCCTCGAATCTAGCAGATTTAGTGCTATTTTAGGACAATTGAAAGTCTTACTTTCCCAGAGACTCTGTAATAAAATTTTCCATTATCATTAACTAATTCGAATCTAAATGTTACTAGTATGTGAGATTGTTTTGACAAAATCTAATTAGTGACATGCTTATATCGTTACATTTAGTGGTTACTCATTGTTGAGGGTTCCACACCATAACTATTTGATGGAAAATTTGGAGTAAAAGAAATGAAAGAAAAATTTAATTTGTATTCTCTCGATCTCGATTACAATTGAATTTTCTGATTACAAAAGAGAGGAGAATTGATCTGGATTCTCCCATTTGTTTAAAACTGGGTTCTTCTAGGTAGCGATGGAGTACCTCCTTCGAATGATTGCGTCGAATTCGCTCTCCATTGACGATCCGACCGTCTTTATCTCGTGGGAACAGTGAACTTATGTGGTAAGTTTAGGGAATAACTCTTAATGAGTTTGAGAACTCAGAACGAGTTAGAACTCCGTGAAAAGAGTTGTTAGAACCGAAAATTCGGTTAATAGCCAAGTAGATTTGATGTTGCTGAAGGATCCTTTTAGATTTGATCTTATGAATCTGATTTAAATCTTCTATCTCCAAAGAATTCTCCCCTCCTCTTCAGAGAATCCAACCTTATACGCTTTTGATTTCAAAATCTTCAACCTCCCCCCCCCCCCAAAAAAAAAAANATACGAACCTCCGAACCCCTTTCTCTATTGAGTTTGTTGAGGTTTTATAGGAGGATAAGGGGTTGTAACTGCCTCCTTAATCCACTCCTGAGTGGACGTAATTTCCTCACATCGTGGGAAAACAGTTCTGAAACCGTTTGACTTATGTTTGAATGAGTCAAACACCCAATTTGGCATTCAGGACCCTAACTTCGTGTCTTAGAATTGAGACGCGGAGTTGGGTGTTGATTGAATGTTAAAAACACGAGGGCCGCTCGCGTTTTGCTTGTTGCAGTTTGGAAACGCGGGGGTCGCCTACTTTCAAGAATTGTGACGCGAAGATGAGTTCCGCGTTTAAAAAGGGTTAGTTGACTTGTAACCTTCTCTGTGAAGCGTTGCAAGGACCATTGTTTAGTAATCCTCGCTTTAGCTATCGTAGGGTGTGAAAGTCGTCAAATTGTAACTCTCATTGTTGATTGTGAAGACCACTGAATAGAGTTTTCATCATTCGTTGGAAGTGTCGTTGAATCGTAACTCTTCTCGATCTATGTGAAAAGTCCTCCACTTGTAGCTTTCATTTGTTAACATGAAAGTCATCTGATTGTAACGTTCATTATTGAAGCTTGATGGGGATCATCTATCTATTGTGATTTTTAGACAGCCTACAATAACAAAGGGCTTACCTTTACTGAGAAAGAAAGAGATGCCTATTATTTGAGAGGACTCTTGCCACCCGTGTGTATCACTCATGTTTCCAGGAAAAGAAGCTCATGAATAGTCTTTGCCAGTATCAGATGCCCCTTCAACGATATGTAGCATTGATGACTCTTCAGGTTTGGACTTATATAATTATGTTGTTTTGCAATATTTAGTTGGACATAAAAAGTTTGCCGATGCATTTTCGTTAATATTTTTTAGGAGAGAAATGAAAGGCTTTTCTACAAGCTTCTAATAGATAATGTTGAAGAGTTGCTTCATGTTGTTTACACAACTGCACTTGGGGAGGCTTGCCAGAAGTATGGTTGCAATGCATCTTTAGGCGGCCACAATGTCTTTATATCAGTTTGAAGGAGAAGTATATTGCAATTCCTTGTGCTTCTTTTATATTTTGGTGATTTTTGTAACTGAAATTGAAAGATTGCTTGATCTTGCAAGGGAAAGGTTCTTGAGGTGTTGAAGAATTAGCGTGAAAGGAGCATTCAGGTTATTGTGGTTACTGATGGTGAGCGCATTTTGGGGCTTGGAGATCTTGGGTGTCAGGTGAATTTGAAGTTATTGCAGTTAGTCTGTGCCATTGTCATCCTCTTTGCCATGAAAACTACCATTTCTTCCACTAGTACTATGATCTCTCACTGTTTAGTGACAACATTGTACATACAGGTTATTTGGATCTATTTGCAAAGTTTGCTAATATCCACCCTCTTCTAACTCATGTAATTCTGGTTGATTTGCAAACTATTTGGATGCTCTGACCATCACGTGTGTAATTTCCATTCTCCTTCTTGCAGCATTTCCCTTGATTCAGCTGCATCTTCATGTAGTGATCTTCTTCTTGATTGGCAAGCCCTCATATCAGATAATTTTTTATTGATGCAAGATATATTGTGACACTAATGTTTGGAGTTCAAAGTGTTTGGGACTGCTGATGCATATTTGTGCCTATCAATGTTTCAACTATATATCTATGGAGTAGTCCATTGTAAATCATTCTAAGTTGCAGAATTTAAAATCTGAGTAGGAACATATGATTGTTTATTTAATTTCATCAGAGCAGAAGTATTATTATCAAGTGCTTCATCAGAGCAGAATTAGTAAAAATATCTCTTTGTGATCAATGAGTAAGTTGCTTTTCACTATAGTTCATTTCAACATTAAAAATATCTCTTTGTGATCAATGAGTAAGTTGCTTTTCACTATAGTTCATTTCAACATTAAACTATGGTGTTAGCAAAAGCAAGTTCCCAATGAGTAAGTTGCTTTTCACTATAGTTCATTTCAACATTAAACTATGGTGTTAGCAAAAGCAAGTTCCATCAACAAAATGAAACCATAAACATAGTCACTTAATGATGTATTGAAACTTGCTTGAGAGATCATATGCTAGTTAAGTGGTATTACATTTGCACTTCTTATTTTAACAAAAAGGTCGGTAGTTTCTAAAGTGTCAAAATTTGCAGTGATGAAGACATTCTTAAGAGACTCGGTGATCTAGTGAATGATAGTCATTATAGCTGCAGTGCTCTGTATGAGTGCAGGTAAGTTCTCTGGTTATATAGTCCTTTAAATCTTTCATATTTTGCAAGTAGTCCCTTAAATTTTCTAGTTGTTTTAAAATTAAGTCATTGAAATTGCTATTGGATCCCCCAATTCCTATAAGTTGTTTCAAATTCATCCCTAATTCCTTTATATCTTTCATATTTAACTCTAATTGTTATGTTTCTTTCGTATGTGTTTTCTCTAGTTGCTCGGAGTTGGAAGAGCTTGTGAAAGTTTGTCGAGACAATGGAGCACTTGGAGCGAGACTTATGGGTGCTGGATGGGGTGGTTGTACAGTTGCTTTAGTTAAAGAAAGTATCATCCCTCAGTTCATTCTCAATTTAAAGGTCAGTTATTTGTGACTGCTTGTAATTTGATCCTAGAATCGTATAATATTCTCTAGGGTTAATTGCACATAGACCATCTATAATATCGTTGATTTGAGCTGACCACCCCCCTAGCTCATTGTTCATTAAAATCATGAGTTCTCTCATAGAAAACATAACACTTTAAACTTGTGCAACTCAAATCCTTTTTAACTTTTGCAGGAGTCATTCTACCAGTCTTGGATTGAGAAGGGTATCATCAACAAGAATGATCTCGGTCTTTATGTCTTTTCCTCCAAGCCTTCAAGCGGCGCTATAATATTCAAGCTTTAAGTTGAATTCTTCTCAAGCATTATTGCCTCTATTTGATCCTAGCCTTGGGAATGAGAGAACATTTTTTTCTAATAAAAATGTTTTCCTCTGAATAAATTATCGTTAAGATTTTAACTATAGTTTTTGCATAGATAATAATAGAAACCATGTTACATTTGACTGTAGATAATTAACATGGGTTGGACGCAATAATTCAGTAAGATATTAAATTGCTGTGGATTCCTATAAGTAGATAATTATATATTACACAGAGCCTAATATCTTATGTATTACATCATATGTATATTTGCCAATAGAATTGTTTTGACTCATTTATTGAATAAGAATTATGTTTCTAGTTTCGAATTCTCGAATGATTCTGTTTGGGCAAAAAAAAAACTCCTAGAAAGTTTAGACAAAAAAAACCTCAAAAGGTTGAAAAGTTTACGATAAACCCCCAATAGTTTGCAAAAAGCCCCCTAAAAATTTATAAAAAACACTTCAAAATATTATATACATAACTACTATAGTTAAATAGGTAAATGGGAAGTTTGTTTATTAAAACCCGTCCATTTAAGAAAATGTTAAATGTGTCATAAATGGGTAAATGGACAAAATATGTCCGCCCATTTATGACCCGCCCATTTATGACCCGCCCATTTAATAACCAAACCCACACATTTAGCATCCCTAGTAAAATTGTAGGTTGGCACTTACAGGATCAAGTAATCAACTAGTATAGCTATCAGTATCATAGATCTATAGAGCCCGCTTGAGGATCCAAGAGCACTTAATTTCTAAGATGCATTCAAACATTTATTAGATATAATGAATTATCAGATTCAAACTGACATTAATTTTCCATCATTTAATAAGTGGCATGTCTCTCTAAATATGTTAAGCTATATCTAGAATTAAATAAAATCTTAATTAGTCTTTTATATGTTTTTCTATTTTCTATGTCTAGGATGTTAATTATGTTTAAATAAATCAAGCGAACTTACATATCATTAATTATGAAAAGAAATGATTTAACCGTAAGTAAACTAATTAATCTATTCAGATTATGAAGCTTACATCTTAAGGATCAAGTTTAGAAGGGAAAAAAAATTAAAAGTGTAGTGTGTTTGCGTGTGCAATCTAAACCTGCTTGAGAAAAATTAAGAATACCATTTGAGCTTGGTGTGATCAGTATCATGAGCAATGAAGGGTACAAAGAATTAGCCAATCCTGTATAGATCAACAAAATATCTTTTCCAAATGAAAAAAAACCACACTTTCTAATCACTACATACTTTCTAAGATTAACTTCACAAACTCTGGAAGGGTTTGCACATAACGCCACAGAAAAATTAATCTCCCAAAACCCTCCTGAACTTTGGGGCGCACCTCACAAAATTTCTGTAACTTTAAAATTTTCTCATTGGATCCACTGATCTATAATTGGTGAATAACTAAAATGCCCTTTAGAGAAAAATATATCGCCAATTTAATCATTTCACATTTACGATCCCCCTTCCCCAGTTGAGGATTATTTTTCTCAAGTACATTTCAGTTATTTGCCAACTACATGTAAGGATCCAACGGGAGAAGATATTAAAGTTCAAGAAGGTTTTAGAGATATCCGTATATTCGAAAAGGTTTTGTCAGATCAAAATAAGTTTTGGGGGTTGAAATTAAATGTTTTTAACTGTGAACTCATGTTGTTTGTAAAGAACATGAATCATCTAAATTATTTCATTAAACTTTTTCATAAAGAATTTAACAAAAACCCAACTCCTTTTCACTTCACTTCATTAGTACATCTTTAAGGAATAGGGATCCTCTTAGAACCGCCCGCTCACATGCGACTTCTTAGAAGATTCCTATTTTAATATTTGTTCTCGACAGATTGGACACCTAGAGGAATGCATCAGTAACCAGCAATCCATATTTCCAAAATCCCTTCCCAAACACTAGAATACAATCAGAGACCCATGATTTCGTCTTAACAATACTAAACAATGTCAATTTTTTCTTTCTGGCTTAGGCTCTATTTGACAAAGGGTTAAGTGAGGGGTTACAGAGAGTTAACCCCTTCTTAGCCTACCAGACACATAAAAATTGCGCATGATGTAAATTGGGTAACCCCTCATAATTTACCAAACACAAAAATAGTAGAATGGTTTACAAACCCCTCTAGAGAGGTTAAAATGAGTTAACTTCTCAAAACTAGGGGTTTACAAATCCACCTATTTAGACGGATGTAGTGATAACCTCTATGTTTATAAAAAAATGATCATAATTCTTTTAGTTCTCAAACACAAATGATGACGAAAAGGATTAACATAAACTAACCTAACATATTAAAATTTTTAACCATTCACATTAACAAATGGACTAACTATGTCAACCATTCATCTTAATTTATCCTCCTTAACCCTTTGCCAAACAGCGCCCGAGTATTTGTTGCAGTTGAGGGTAAGGGTTTTAGCAAATATTATTGATTAAAATTCTATTATTATAACCCTAACCCTAATAGTTAACAATATTTGCCATAACTCTAAGCGTGACCTCAATCTAAACCTTAATTAGTCTTAACTCCTAACTAACATCTAACAAGATCACCATATCAGCAAAAAAAAAGAAAAAGGAAAAAAAAGAAACACAACAACAACAAACGTTATTAACCTATATATCATTAAACTCCTGTGCCACTACGATAAGTAGTCTAATAAGGGTTATTCGTGCAGATCGATGCTGCCACACTATTTTGAGAAGGATCAGAGTCAAAATTAAATTATTCAGTTTTTCGGAAAGAATTTGTACTACAAACTCAATTCTTCTTCACTCCTTTGAAAGTTTGAGATAGAAGAGGCTCCTACGGCTATACAGAACTCTAACTATTCGCTAACGCCAACACTACGACTCCGAAAACCCCTACCCCAGGACTTGGACTCGACAAGTTGGACACGAGGGATGCGACAGCAACCAGGCATCGATACAGTCGATATGAAACCTATGGGCGCATTGGGGCATCACCCTAAGCCTCTCTTTGGCCTTTGAATCCTCCATATACAAATTCACGCCAAAAATTTCAGAATTATTGTCTTTCAGCGGCGGCGACCGGGAGCCAATCTTCCTGCAGCTTCTGCAGCTCTTGACATCAGTGACAACCGGAGCAGCGGCAGAGCAGCATCGTCAACGTGGCACTAGCCAATGACATCAATGATGACCGAAGAAGCAGCGCAGCGCTTCGCAGCATCGGCACTTAGTGGTAGCATTGCTCGACGCTGTTCCATGTCTTCAAGGCACTTCCGATGAAAGCGACCAAGTGTGTGAGCAGCATGCCGGAGGCACTACAACCAATGAAGATATGAATGTTGCGGAGTCGGAGAGCATCTTGAAAACATGGGGGGGGGGGGGGGATGATATATAAGGGAGCTGAGGTGTAATGCATTAGGGAATACGATTTGGATTAGGAGTCAGTAATGATACCGTCCGCGAGTGGGAGGGGGTGCAGGAACAGAGTTTGATGTATTGTGGGGTCATCACTTTTTCCCCGCTAGTGGTGCAAAATGATCCGGATATATCTGGACCGACCACAAGTTGGACCGACCGTAACCATAACCGTTTTGAATGTGGATATGGTAGCAAGAATTTAAAACTACTCGGATATGGTTCTGATATTTCATGCGGAAACGGTTCTGGATATGATTATCATGTCCAACTTGTGGATACGGTCCGAATATTCGAATATTGTAACACTTAATTCAAATTCAAATCTTAGCCCTAAACTAATAGCTCATTAAATTCAAATCCAAATACTAGTTCTATAACAATAAGACTTTACATTCAAATCCGAATCCTAGTTTTAAACCAGTAACTCCTTAAATTTAAATCTAAATTCTAGTCCAAAATGAGTAACACCCTAATAAATTGAAATCTAGGAAAAAAAAATCTGAATCCGAATCGATAATCCTCAACAAATAACCCGCCTTAGTTTTATAGAAATGTTAGGGGCACACCCCCAACCACAATCTCAACCACACCTCCTCTCACTCTATAGTGCATTGGGCCCCACATCATTTTTTTTTTTAAATTTGATGTGGGGTCCAATGCACTATAAAGGGAGAGGAGGTGTGGTGGAGGGTGTGGTTGGGGGTGTGCCCCTAACACCACTCTTAGTTTTATTAGTTTGGATCGGCTCTCTAATATATAGTCTCGTTCAACTCTCAACTTGACCCGATTACAATTAAAATAAAGGATTTGGGCTTCAGAGAGCAGAAAGGGAAAGTGAGTCAAGTCCTAATCAACGACACTATTGACTATTGTGCTCCGCCTTTCAAGTTCCTCCGCCTTCAATCTTGCTCAAATTTTAGCCTCCTCTTCCTTCATCCTATTTTGCCCTGACGCCTTAATCCCTTTGTTCGACTATCTCAATCGTTGAACCCTTATCCGCCTTTATCCTATTTCGCTTAGATCTCCTCTTCATCTCCAGAGATCCTCCTCATTGTTGTGCGCGGCGCGGAAGCGGTCGAATCACACAATCCGAACAAGAGATATCACAACCAAATAAACAAGCACAATCACCAAATAACACAAGAGATTTACGTGGTTCGGCAAGTTGCCTACGTTCACGGGGCAAGAGGGAGGGAGTTCTTACTATTAGAAATCAGAGAATACAAGTAAAGTTACAAATCTCTCATATCAAACCCTAAAACAAAGCTCTTGATCTCTCACAACTCTCCCACAATTGGATGCAACAATTCTCTCTTCAAGACTGCTCAAAATCGTCCTTGAGTTACCCTAAACAATCAGGTTTTGAGTTATATATAACTCAGAAACGAAACGGGTCAAAATCCAAAAGGCCCAGCCCAAACAGACTGTGGTCGACCGCGGCGGTCGACCGCGCAGGTTCAGGTTTCGCGGTCGACCGCGGTGGTTGACCGAACCACAAACCCGAGAGTAAAAATCAATTACAGTCATCCGCGGTCGACCGCCATCAGCTCCGAATCCTACTGTCCTTCGTGCACGTTCGC